GTTAGAATCAACTACTGCCCTCCTGCCAGTCTCTGGATTCCAGTATCATTAGCACCGAGCAACTCACAAAATCCCTTTTAATAAAGCTCTTCCTAGCGTTGCACAGGAAATCAAATCCCTGTGTCAGCCCTGGAGAGTTCAAAGCCCTTTGATAAAATTATACATGCTAAATTGTAATACTGAGCTCTGGGCTAAAAATTGTAATTTTCTATATTTTCCAAAGCAATTTGGGATGAAAATTTTCAGGATTATGTTCCCATTATTTTGTATGACTGGGATAAAACTGTCCAGTTTTTCAGATTAACACATAATAGTTACATTATTTAAAAGATAATAATTATTCATTTACTCAAATATCTGAGGGTCCGGCATTGTGCTGCATCCTGGGAATACAGTGAACAAAACAAACAATCCCAATATGTCATAATAACTTCTACATTGTGGTACTTATCTACAAAATAATATGCCATAGTTAAAGTGCCTTATTTAATTGCTAGGGAGTAGGGTGGGACACATGGGAAATAAATACACGATTACTAAATACAGGAATTCTTCATTTAAGTCTTTCTATACATTATGAACATGTAACAATTATGATAAGCAATACTGGGCACTGAAATAGCTTCTATTCACTTAAGGAGTGCTAGTATTTTACCTTTAAAATTTCTATCATTATATATACGCAGATCACATAAGATGTACTCATGGTTGAACAGAACTATTTGTCAAAATACTAAAATTCTATACAGCAAAATTTTCATGCCAAGAATGAAGAAAACACAGCACAATGACCTCAAAATTAGTATACTGTACTATAAATATCAAGATAAATTTTATTCTTCCTAGTATATAAAAATAAAGGTAATTTATTCTTCCTAGTGTATAAAAGGTAATTTGTTTTTCAAACTTCATTTATAGTTTCTGTAATATAAGGAATGTGTAAATATGTTAACAATTTTCTTACCAAAATAAAGCCCTATATATATATATATATATATATATATATATATATATACACACACATATATACACACAAAAATTTAGGGAATAAAGTTTGTCCTTGGTTGGGAATTCCCTGACAGTCCAGAGGTTAAGACCTGGCACCTTTCACTGCGCGGGGCCTGGGTTCGATCCCTGGTCTGGGAACTAAGATCCCCTAAGCTGCACATTGCGGCCAAAAAAATAAAAAGCAAAGTTCGCCCTTGGTTTAACACTGATGTGCATACAGAAATAAACATATATACTCACAGGAGTAACACACACTGACAAAAAGTTACATTTAGCAAAGGTGAAAAACGGGAAAAAAAATCCCGCTAGTACTTTTTTTCTGTCTCTGGGACTGGACAAAGAATGTAGAAAACTACCGAAGTAACCAAAAAAAAAAGACACAGAAACCACACTTCAGACAAACTGCTTGTTAGTACTTAGGACCTGATTTCACAGACAGGTTTAATCCACTTAAATCCTCAAAGGTCATGCTGTCAAGGTGGACGATGAACGTCTGCTGCTACTGAATTAGACGGGCCATCGTTCTGAGAAGTAGGGTACTCCTCCGCGTGCGTCACTTTATTTGACCTTCCCACAGGAGGAAGTGCATTATTTATGCCCTCTTCAGGAGGTGACAGGATACCAGGCATTTCATTCAAAATTAGAACTTGCAAAGATTCTGTTCCATCTTCAACATCCACCTGAATCCCCAAAGCTTTAAGAATGTCACATTTGCACATGGGGCATGTCCCATGGGCTAGAATCCAGGGGTCAATGCAGTTCTTGTGGAAAAAATGTTTACAAGTCAGAATACGAACTGTATCATCAGGCTTATAGAGTTCAAAGCAAACTACACAGCTATCTCCATTTGGACTTACTTCCTTGTCCCCCTCTTTAAGTACCCGAAGTTGAAGCTGGCCACATGCTTTCTTGAGATCAGTTGTTAACCGCTGCCATCTCCTGTTCTGAATCCTTGCTACCCAAAGTCTTTGAATATGATAAAAGATGAAACATGCTAGTGTAGCAGTTGTGACGATCACAAAAGAGACAAAATAGTGATTCATCCAGATGATGTGTTTTCTTCCCACCTCAATCATGACTGTAACGTGAACTCCCTTCTGAATTAAATGCAAAATCTCCATGCCTTTCAAGTTACCAATCATCACCACAACGATGTCTTCAAATGCCTGATGAGACATGGGAAAAACCTGATTGCCAGTTCCCAGAAAGTTATAGATGATCACTCCACTGGCTCCCTTCTCCACGGCCACCTTGATCTTCTGCGTGAAGGTACAGCCTCCCCGTGCGACAAGTGCGAGCCACGTCTCCGAGTTCTTCGACGTGTTGAAACTGGTACTGGGGTTACATGCGTTTTGCGTTTTTCCCTCTGGAGGCACGATAACTCCCGCCACTCTCTTGAGAGCAGAGCTTCTTCCAAACACTCCAGTCTCCCCCAACTCTGACAACATGCGACTCCCAACGTGAAATGATATGTTCGTGTATGCAGTCCAAACAGCGCTGGCTCTGCAACAGTGCTGGCTAAGCAGCCAAAGGAAACTGAATTTCATGAGCCAGGAAGAGGCACTGTTGTTTCTCCGAGTGCCAATCTTGAGTAGACGCATCTCTCTCTTAGTGACTGAAGGACTAACCCAACAAAAAGATGTGGCTTCCACATCTGCTGACAATCAACATAAAATATTAAAATGAAAAAAACCTTCTGGGTGAAAACAAGTTCCACTGTCTTCCAGCATGTTTTTGTAAGAAATTCTTAAAGATGTCTTATGAGTTTCAGATGTTTTTTTGAGAGAAAGAGAAAAACTTCAGATTGAAAAAAAAAAAAAATCCCAGTCTCACTACTGTAACTCTACATACTGCTTACTGTTGGGTGGCATGATTATGACATAAAAGACAACACGGCCAATTAGGTCAGAGCTTAGAGCATGCTGTACATTTATTGGCTTGACTGTTTCAAATGTTGTTACGGGTAATTTCAGTGTTGTTACAGGATGGATTCAATCCTTGAGCTTACTACATGTAATGTTACCTGGTATCACGTTAAACTAAAGAATGTTAAAAATTGTATAAGGCAACGCATTTTAAAACCTGAAAGCATATGCAAGAAAGACCATACGATTAACACTCTCCTTCACAATCAGTGGAGTAAATATCTGTATCAAAATGGCAAGTTTTAAAACCATGAATGATAATTAAAAATTAGCACTATGACCAGATATGGGAAAAAAGTGGTAACACTGTTTTTAACTCACATTTGGTCACAGTGCAAATTTATCTATCATGCAAATTTCTGAACTGAATTTATTTAATAAAGCTTGCTCAGAAATTTGCTGGACAGGTTTGGTTTTGATTTAACTTTTAAAAGTAGGGCATCCCATTAAACTAATTCAGCCTCACTACCCTCACTCTTACATTGATTATACGTAGGGATGACAGCAGTAAAGACAAAAAAGCCTAATCTCATTTCTCTGCAGACCTTGGGTCTGCAGAGACATCTGTTAGTAATCTCACAATATTTTGGGGGAAGAGGAGGACGGGTATAGGGAAAAGATTAAATATAGCAATATTAGTTTAGCACAATTTACTTTGATCAAAAATGTAGCTATAGATTTTATAAAGAAAAACTTCAAGGTCCTCACTTAAATTTAACCACTGACAGCAGTGACTGTTAAAGGTCATAGATGCTTTTAACAAAGTGTTTGCCAAAATCAACAAACATCGTTGGTGGAAGACCCCGCATACACTGTCAGTTCTGCCTATATGCTTGCTACACTTCGGCCAATGGCACAATATGACTTCAGAGCCAAAGAATGACATGTGAACTAACAAATACGGGCAGTCACTGGCACTGCCATACGCTTGCTCAGGGGTATCTCTCAGTGGTTCTTATTCACCGGCTAGGTAACCAAAGCCAAGGATTTTGACCTTGGACATAAATGTCTCTGACCTCTATGCATAGGGTACTAAGAGACCTTTAGGTTGGGTCTCACCAGGACTGCGGGATCTAGTGTATTCTTATGAAATATCCGTCAACAACGTGACAGCTCAAAGAAGAAAAGAGGAAGAAGAAATGGTACCTAAAGGCCCAACACAAAGTGGCATTAAAGAAAAGAACATTGATGTGACACCTTTGGCTCACAGTGCTCGATTTTCTTTCCCAAAGACCATTAATCTGATTTCCACACACCCACTCTTTAAAAAAGACAGTGAGGCACACAGTGTGTTGACTCACAAATTGCCATTTGAGTTGGACATCAATGCTTTAGCATATTATCCAGAGAGATTTTCATCAAAACAACAAAACCCACATCTTCAGGCCTCTCATTGTTATACAGGTGTTTATCTACCAGAAAAAAGGAAGAGGCAAAATAAGGCAAGAGATACAATTTGGAAAGGCAAATGAACAAAACTGCAGTTCTGCTCTAGGTCTATATTATCAAAATGTCCCAAATAGAGACACACTACCATCTTAAGAGGAGCATTTACTAGAGTCAATTCTAGAAGGAAACTTTGCAACCACAGCCGATACACTATGCTAGGATTTAAAGGGCTCTGGCAAACAAAGGTGATTTTTTTTTTTTAATAATGCTGCCCTAAATTAGGCCTATAGTAATTTAAAATATTTTTAGGCACATAACCAGAAGTGCTACCATCTAAAATAATTATTTGGAACACATTATCTACCCAGTCAATAGCTTTGGCAACCAGATTTTCTGGGTATTAATAAAATTAACCACGGAAAATTAAATCAAGATCTAAACCTATAATCAAGTTTACTGAAGAGAAGTATTATTAGACATCAAAAATTAAACATATGGAAGCAAAGTATAAAAATGAGTATAAAGAAACTTTAAAATATTATGACTAATTCTCTGTGGCATCAATGTCACAATCATTGTAATTTGAAAATCAAGACTAAATTGCTTTTAATGTATACTAACATCCTTATTTAGATAAAGGCAAAAATGTATAACAAAACACTAGAAAGACAACAAGTTCATGATATGGAGTTTTATTTTTAAAGCACACAAATGTCACCCTCTTTAGTACTTGCGTAGACAAGCTGCAGTTGAATTCTCTCTAAAGTGCTAAAACAGAATTCATCTTAATTGTAACCTTTGGTAAGACTCAGTTACATCTTCAGGAGATTCTCTGGTTTTCTTAAGTTTTCAGAATGTCACACTTGCAGATGGGGCATGTCCTATGGGCTAAAAGCCAGGGGTCGACGCATGCCTTATGGAAAAAATGTTTGCAAGCTAAAATACGTACTACATCTTGAGGCTTGTATATGTCAAAGCAAACAACACAATTGTTTCCATCTGGATCTAGTTCCTTATCCCCTTCTTTGAGCACTTGCAGTTGAAGCTGTCCAATAGCTTTCTTCACATCTGCCTGTCTCCGCCTCCTGGTGGAAGAATTGGGCACTCGAGGTCTCCAGGCACAGTACAGGAACAGGTAGGCCACTGTGGCAGCCACAAAGGTAAACAGAGATATGACATAATGGCTCAGCCAGGGCATGTGCATCCTCCCCACTTCAATGATGATCGTCACACAGACTCCTTTCTGAATCAAGTGCAAAAGTTCCATGCCTTTCAGGTTGCCTATCATCACTGCGACTATATTTTCCGTTCCCTGGTGAGACATGGGAAATACTTTGTTGCCCGTACCTGGATAGTTATAGATGATCACCCCATTTGCTCCCTTCTCTGCTGCCACGTTGATTTTGTGTGTGAAAGTACAGCCTCCTCCTTCAATGAGGGCCAGCCAAGAGTCTGCTCGCTCAGGCCTGCTGAAATTGGTCATAGGATTACAAGCGTTCTGATTCCATCCTTCAGGAAGTACCACCACACCAGACACCCTTTCCAGAGGAGAATGATTCCCAAACACTCCACTCTCTCCTAATTCTGATATACTCTGATTTCCCATCTGAAACGTTATATTCAGGTGGGCTGTCCAAATGGCTCTTCCTTTTGAGTCAGGAAGGCTAAGTAGTAGAAAGATGCTAAGCCTCAACAGTCGAGATGAAACAGAAATATGAATTGAAGGAGTAATTCTAAGTAGGCTCATTCCTCCATTTGCCTATTAACTGACAAACATGAAGGAAAAAAAAACATCCGTTGTAAAAGAAAGTCAAGAAGCTACCTTCAAGTGTTGGCAGTAGATCATTAAAGCACGTAAATGGAAAAGGCCTTCTATCTTGCTCCTTCTAACATTTTTATTTTTGCTAGATTATCTTTCTCATAATGAAACAGAATAACAAGATTTGTTATTGGTAAAATGTTATTTCAAGAAAACTGTGACTTCCTAATGGGGAAATTGTGACATCAGAGGTAGTTAAGCCAATCCAAGAGTTTATATTAGTGCACTGCATACTGAAATCCTATTGGCCAAAAAGCTAGGCAGCAATGACTCATGTACCAATCTGAATAAACTCCAAAGCAAAAAAAATAATAATTTTTTTAAATACCTCGAGTTTCTTTTCTACTTCTGGATAGCCTGAAAAGCTGCCTAAACACTTTTTGCTCACTGTTTTCCTATCTATAAGGCAAAGGAGAAACCGTTCATGTATAAGTGTACGTCCCTGTCCAGTCACCAGTTCTCAGATATGGCTCTGTGCTACCCAATATGCCATTCTATGGGAAGCAGGAACAAATCATTCCCTCTCTCTTCCAACATTAAATGCTTATCCCAGGCCTAAAGAGGGTCATGTAATATAAACTTTTACTGTTAGTCTGATATATTGCCATCTTGCAAGGCGAATTCAACTTTATTCACTAAAATCACTACCAAGAACCTATACTATGTGCTGAGCAAGCACTAAGTATGGGTCATATGTTGGAGAAGACACATACACCTACTTTGTGGAGATTATCTGGTGAGGGCAGATTTTAAACAAAAACACAAATGTATAACTGCAAGTTGTGATAAGAGCTCTGAAAGAAAAACAGAGTATCAAAAGAAAGAACAAACGTAAAGGGGATCCAAACTTTGAATCGAGGCCAGAGGCCCAGGGCATTGTTCTCTAAGAAAGTGATAGTCAGTCTGAGGCTGGACAGATACATCAGAATTATCCAAGCCAAGTATGAGCTGAGAAGATTCCGGGCAGAGGAATCGGCAATTTCAAGACCCTAAGATAGCAAGGAACATGGAAAGTTAAAGGATCTGAAGGAACATGAGTTTGGCAAAGCAAGAGAGGCAAAAGTTAAGGTGATGAGGGAAGGCAAGGCCAACAGCAGTCAGAGGTTCAGGATCATGAACCATAGACTAAGGATTTTGGATTATGTCCCAAGGACCAGAGAAACACACTGAAGGGTTTCAACCTGGGGAGGTGACTTCAGTGTTTCAAAATGTTCACTTTTTAAAAAGTGTACTTTGGCTTCCTGAAGTGGAAAATGGATTGGAGGAAGAGAAGGATAAATTGATGAGATGAGTGTCTTCTTTTAGGCAAAAGAAGACAGTAGCTGGGACTCTTGAAATAGCAGTAAGGATGTAGAGACAGACAAATCAAGTTACTTTAAAGGTTGAATTAACATACGTGGTAACCGGAAGGGTAGTAGTGGGCAGAGCAAAGGATGACCACAGCTATCAAGTCACTACATTACTTAGTTGATGCAAACTGTAGAATCTTTACTGCTTTAAAGTTGCTTTAATGCTTGTTTGTGTTTATTTTAAATCTTCACCTGACTTCACTCAAGGAGTCAATAAATTGGCAACACTCATTCAAACATCATTTACTATGTACAGGACACATGCTATGCATGTCAGAAAGAAAAGACAGCCTCCATTTGCTTGTGTGTGAAATAGACAACAACATTTAAATCAGAGGCATATTAAGAATTCTGTCATTTTCACAAAAGGAATTACTGTACTCCCTGGTCTGTAATATTTTAGCTGACATTTGCTGTTAAAAATAAAATTGGAACCAATCAACTTGCCCCATGCACAGAATTTTATGCAGGCAACATTTCAGTTCACATGTGAACTGTCTTTACATGTAGACTTTTCCCAAGTTCAAACAGAGTGTGAAATCCTGGCTTATTTATTAGCAAAGTGAAGCCTTACCATGAAGACAGTTATCATATCAGAGGCTGTTTGTTAAATATACGATTATTTAACATTTGAAGATAGAATTACATTAGTTTCTAAATCCTAACTTTGCTTTTTTAGTTTGCTGATTTTCAAGGCTGAAGGAGTTTAAGCAGTAACTATATGTTAGCTCAAAACATCTCAAATCTAAAGGTTCTTCATATGGTTGAAAAGACCAGTTTGAAAACCTCAGTAATTCATTGTATTTTCTCACCATATGAGGAAGCACTTAAGGCAATGGCAGTTAGAACTTCCCCGCTCTCTTTCGCCTGAGTCTTAGGACAAACGCACCTACAAGAAACAATCCTTTATCTCTAACATAGTGGTTCTCAAGTGGGGGATACTTTTACCTCCCAAGAAATATTTGGCTATTTCTGGAGACATTTTTGATTGTCACAATGGGGGAGTACTATTGGCATCTAGTGGGTAGAGGTAAGGGACACTGATAAATATTCTATAATGCACAAAACAGCCCTGTGCAATAAGTAATTCTCTGACCCAAAATGTCAATAATAGCCTTGGGAGGGAGGAATCATCCCCAAACTCACTTGTCCCTGAGAAATGAGGCCTGAGCTCTTACCATAAAGTTTATAATTGGCAAAACATCCATCAAGGAGGATTCCTCAACCAGTCTCCGCTTCCTGTTTTCTTTGAAATAGAAACAGTGCACACCTGTACAAATGCCTATTAGTCTATGAAACCTGATTAAAGATTGCATCCATTTGATCAGGACCAGATCCAAGAGTCTTCTGTGCTGGGGCCAGGATGTCTGAACAGGAAAGGAGGGAAGTGGGCAGTGGGGGTGGGAGAAGGAGTGGAAAACGGATAGCTGATGTTACACTAATCTGTGACTTTTAGACCATTTATTCAATATGTAGACTTTCTATCTTTTTAACAGCCAAGTATTAAAGAGGTTTTCATTAGCTTACCTGCCAGGTTCAACCAAAGGAGACTGAAATATACTAAGGCTGGCTGATCACATTCAGAAATGCCTACCTGTTCTACCTTGCCACTCTGCCTCTTAAAGGACAGTATGTTGATTTTTCTCTTATACAGGCCCATTTCATTATCCCCCCAGGTGGCTACTGCTGTTCCAGGCAGACCACATTCAGAAGCACAAAGACACTTTTCTTGTCCCATCTCTCTATATAAGAGCAAGGTAATTTTCTTTTCCAGAAACCTACTAGACTTCCTTCAAGGTCTCTCTGGCTAGCAGTGCTTTAGAGACCCATGCTTAATGGAACCCCTGGAAATCACAGTAGAATTATCATGACCAGCTAAGGTTAACCACGATTTATCCTGCTATGGAAAATTCCTTCCCTGACTGAGCACATGGCAGGAGGGAACATGAAGGTAATCAGTGCCCTGCCTCCAAAGGGAAAAGGTATGAACTGGAAGGTGAGTAGGTAAACAAAGTTCCTGAGGTTTACCCAAAGGAATGATACTTAAATAACCATTAACCACAACAAACACATAATATTCACTATACACAAGGTTCTGATATGAGCCAGAGCCTATGTTACCAAGGACACAGCACGGCCCTGCTCTCAGGTGTCATCATCTAGGTGGAAGAAGAGAGTTATACACCAATTAGGTACATGCATATATATATGTATATCTTAACTTCTAGGTTCTAATTAAAATTCAAGAAGGTTATCAATTTCATTAACTTGGCGGGGGTTGGGGGGTGGGAATCAGCTGATCTCTATCCCTCCGCTATTCATCAACCTCTGTTAAGAATGCTCAAAAGTCCAGAAATCTCTACTTTGAGAAGAAAAATAGCCAAAAACTATCTGGGCAATGCTTTGTAATTGTATCTCTAAATGCAGGGAATACTGAAGAGACTTCAATAAATTACCTCACAAGTCACCGTATCCAGGGCTATGATATTATTAGAGATCTCTAGGAATCCACAAAACACACTGGATTCGCATTTAATCTTGAGAAAACAACTGTATAGGGTTTCTGTGAGTAATTAAATGCATCATAATGGGATTTGACAGGAAAAGAATACTGACTCTAAGTAGTTTACTGAGAACAACAAAATAGCAAGTAATGCTAATGATATTCTCTGAAAGAGGTATCTTTATTTCTAAAGATTTTTAAAAGCAAAACTTACTTTAAAACGTTATTATCTTTGATTGCAAATTGGTAAATCCTTATAAAAATTTCTTCTAAATTTCTCCTGTAAATTAGTCTCTACTCCCACATATTCTCCCAGACATATGCAATAAAAAAACTATTCTCCACAAATACACTTTTTCCACTTAATATTTCCAAACCCAGGAAAGTGTTCTGAATATCCTAAAATGAAATACAGTAAATTAAAAAACTAATATATCAATCTTTGAATTACTTTCACAATCACATACTATACTAGAGGCAGGTGCAGATGTGTGAAAGTCACAAAATTTACTCAGGCTCCTATTCATTATTATTTATATTAACCAATAAAATAACTTTCAATATCGCTAAAATCTCTGGTAACTAAGTATAGTAGAAAGAAAAAACAGCCAAGACAGACATTTTATTTTATTATTATTATTTTTTGCGGTACGCGGGCCTCTCACTGTTGTGGCCTCTCCCGTTGCGGAGCACAGGCTCCGGACGCGCAGGCTCAGTGGCCATGGCTCACGGGCCCAGCCGCTCCGCGGCATGTGGGATCTTCCCGGACCGGGGCAC